CAGAGTTGGGCAAATTCTTGTCTACTTGTACTTAACCCTTCAAACTGTAAAATTAAGTTTGTCCTACCTCTAAGCCATGATCTGGCAGTTGAGGAGAAATGCACTACAGCATCTGGTAACACCACAGTCCTCAAAGGAACAGGCTTAAGCGAATTTTTATTTCCAAAGAGCTACAGTTCATGGTATTTGTTACTAGGAGAAGAAAATGTTGGCAAAAAGTACTTCCAGGGACCACAAGATTAGCTCATCCATGCAGATACAAACCACACAACTTCTTTTCAGACTACTATAGCTTGGAAGATTAGTTAATGTCCTATATAATGAAGAAACAGAAGCATGGGTTAAACAGAAAACATCAGAGACCCTCAACAAATTACTAGCTTGAGCACTACCACTAGCCATTCCTCTTCCCCCCAAACCTCCAGAGTATCCAGAGCATGACTGATTCTTGAGTTAACCAGTCTGTCAAGCAGGATGGACTGAAACAACAAAGAGCAATGTAATCGCAACAATCTAAGTTACAGAAATTCAATTTTTAGTGCTGATGAAATATTAAAGAGATAGGACAAAATGCCAATTTTAAAAAGTTTGAATTTTTCTTGAAGTTCTCCAATAGTCTCCTGATGGAATCCAAGGTCTAGATGGATGTCTACAATTGCTGATAACCAAGACTTGTAGCGATCTCTGCTGCATCTAGGTGTAACACTGTTTTAAAAGATTGTATATACACTATACACTGTGACAGTTAGTGACTAGTACAATATTCAGAAATGAGACACATGAAGCCCAGAATTAAAAACAGGAAATGAAAGGAAGAGAGAGAGAGAGCGCAAAAAAATATACAAAGCTTAGGAAGGACAAAAAGAGATAAAAGAAAAAGATGTGTATAGTTTATAAAAATGCAGCAACAAAAAAGGCTTTTTTAAAGTGGAAAAATGAATAAAACCCAGAAAATACTAAATACATTCTGTATTTATAGCGTAACATTCAGTAACTAATGTTTATTTATATAAAACATTCTACATAACAGCAACAGTCTGCAATATCTCATAAAACAGATCCACGGGTGAGAAACACTAGAGCTAACAGTTTGTCTGTAAGAAGCAACTTACTACCCTTCCTCCAGTATTTAAAGGCATGAGAACGCTCAAGACAGAAGTGTGGTATAATAGTTGTTTATCCTGCATTGCTGTTAAGATCAAAATCTTCATTAAAAGCAAATGAGAAGCTGAAACAGTAGTGACTTCCTGCGATCTGCAGATCTTACATGACACGAGCTACAAGTTGCTTACGCTGGCACAACCTGCATTATGTTTGGGTTCCGTGCATGAATGTATTTACACACATACACTGATCTCACTGACATACATTACACAATCAAGGAGTCAAATGTGTTTCCTATTAAGCGAATGTGGGTGGTCTGCTCCTCAAGCTGTATTGTGTCAATGAATTTGTAAAGAGTACCGTGCTTAATTCTGTTTGAACAGCCCTCTGAAGAGGACATAGCTACATTTCACTTTTCGATCAACATGTATCAACATCTCGTTCAACCAGTACAGTAGAAAGGTGGTCCCATCTTTACTGGAAGCAATATTATGACACAATAGAGACACCAAGCTTGAGGCTTTCACAGAAATGATACACTAACAACATTACACACAGAGGAAATAACTAATGTTAATTTGTTTTCATTTAATTACTTAGATTATTTTAAAGAATAAGAACTACTGAGAAATCCTCTCTCAATTTTTTCCAAGACAACATGTAAAAATCATCCTTTGTGTTGTAAAGCTTCTTATAAATGCAAAAATCTGAATTTGGAAATCTGTTTTTTTCAAGCTCATTTGTGAGGACTGCTATAAAATGTCAAGAGCTAAACCTGTATTTTTTGTTACAAAAACAAAATTACAACTGCGGATGTTCTTATATCGTATTTCACCAGAAAATGTCTACATTTCTAGTAGGTCTGAAGTAATGAGCTACTTAATGACATATAGTGTGTTTAAGTCATTTTGGTTTCTTGCCCAAAAACTCTTTTCAATACCGCTGCCATCCCACAAGCAAATTTATACCACAAGTGAAAATTTATACTTCCAAAGATAAACTTTCATCTCTCTTGCGGTAAACCTTATGCAGTGTATGAAGAATTTTTTATAAACATACATCTCTTAATTTTCTATAGTTTCTGCATATTATACAAAATATTCTCTCTATTAAATACAGAGTTGGTTGTTTTCTTTTTCTTTTAGGGAAAAAAAGGAAGGAATAGCTTTCCACTGACAAACTTTAAGAAACTTGAAACAAAAGGAAAAATAAAATCCATTACATTGGCTTGAGCTTTTCTAGATATGATTGGCAAATGCGAGGCTGATGACATTAGATTTTTCATTTAAGTTTAAAATAATGCATCAAAGTATTACTGCTCAGAGCAGAAGCAAACCACACTGTTAGGACAACAACCTAATTTAGTTCCCATGCTAGTGCTGCACTCAGGGTTTTTTGGTGGATTTTTATGGAACACTTCATCCATAGAATCAGATAGTCTGTGGACTGGTAAAGCAAAGTGGATATGGCATAGCAGGGCTCTTCCCAGTACCTCTCTGACAAATGTCAGGGATGAAATCATGGCACAGCTGAACCCAACAGGAGTTCTGCCACTGAACTGAATGTGGCCAGAATCTCATCCTCAGACGTATGAGTTATCCATATGCTCACTCACATCAGAGAGGATTCATAAACAGGCTACTGAAATAAAATTTCATTTCAACTTAATTATTTGCAGTGATGACAGATTATTATGTGAAATCATCATTTCTGGACCAATGTTGTTATTAAATTTGCTGTTTCATCAAGTTTACATATATTTTCTTCATTTGTCGCCACAGGATTCTTTGTCATAGCTTAATACAAATCTCAATAGCCATTAACATTTAGGTACCCAAAAAAGTAAACTCTGGTCAGATTCACACAGGGTGCCTTTTTTCCATAAGGCATACACAATCCCTAGTTTTTTATGGACTGGTTCCCAAGAGAAAGCAACACGCTAGTCGAACCAAAGAAGAAATAAAGATATGTTTGAGATACCTGGATCCCAAACCTTGAGAACCACACTTACGACATCAAAGACACGACAGTGGTTTCTGTTGCCCATCATTCAGAATGCTGCTGCTTATGATCCACTGCTGTTACATTTCTGCCACTGCAGACCTTTTCCAACTGCAGGGATCACTTCTATAATCCAATTTCTTTATGGTCAGAATGCCTCATATAAATGACAATCCCTAGCTTGAGCATTCAGTCACATGAGCACATTCCTGCCCCACGCTCACTTTTTCAAAAACCTGTTCTTCCTACTCAAATAGTTATAAGCTCACTCGTTTGACTTGTGCTCACAGATTTAAGCGATGGGGAAAAGGTCTGCTACTGCTTGCTTTAATATTGGAGAAAGATTAATTCCTTCATGTTTCTAAAAAGTATTGTCAACAAAAATCTAAGTTTTAAAAACACAATGGAACGAGATAATTTACATTTATGAGATTAATAGATAAAAATGTTTTGGAGATTAAAATTACTTTGAATCATAATCTCCCTTAAAAATACATATTTAATATATTCACAGTAGAAGCCTGAAGTCTTCTGCCTCAGGTATGTAACGAGACAAAAACTGGCCTAATACAGCAAACTGAGTGGGTTAGTTTTGCCTATCAATTTCCCCGAGATAGCCAGAAAATTACTAGAAACAAAAGCAGGTCAATAGGACTGTACTTCCTCAGCTCAGTTCAGTGTAAAGAAAGCACAGCGGTCTCATCATCAAACATTCATCACATTTTCTTCCATGTAACTATCAAACATATTGCCCTAACAGAAGCATAAAAACAAAACATCAAATTCTTCAAACACCATTCAAAATAAGCTCTCTCTGGCTATGTTCTTAAGCCTTACTTGGCATTTCAAATTGGCAATTGCATACAAAACACTCTAGCATAACAAATTATTCCCACTCTACTAATCCATTGGTGACCTACATAAGACGTGAGCATAAAGAATCTTTTAAGCAGTGCGATCTACTGGTATATTAACATCTAGTTCCGTTACTAAAGTTGGTCATTTTTAGACTCTCTCTTCATTCCACACTAACATTTAAATTTGTTTCCTCTTTACATGCATAGCAAAGGTATCACAAAAGAGCTTGGCTGCTTGTGTCAGATGCTTGGCTGTTAGAAAGGCCTTCATCTACCTCCTCTACTGAAAATATTTACACCGTAGTGCATGGAACAGACTTGGCTATCCTCCTTGTATTCACTGAGTAACCCTCTACTAGAAGTCACCATATCAGAACAAGATGCACATGTCCAGTTTCTTCTTTTCTAACTAGTGGCTACGCCTACTATATTCTATATGCAAAACACATTCGATTCCTTTTAAATTGACAAAAATTGCCTCTTCGATGTAACTAATATCCGTTCATTACTGAAGAATAGATTTAATAACCAAAAGAGTCATGCACACTGGAGCAGACAGAAGTGCATTAGCATCATATGCATTCCTGTCGTGAATCCACAGACTTTATGACACTTAATCTCTCCTTTAGTAAAGACTGCACATTTCTTCCGTCTCAACATCAGCAAGTCTTTTGAAATAATACACATAAGTTTTGAACAATTGAATAATATTTAAGTTTGTAATTTGTTTTATTATTTGTTCCATTATCTGGAGAAAGCAATATTTCTCTGATATTTACTACACTTGGTGCACTCACAGCTGGTAGTTGCAATGAAATATGAATTCAGATTTCAAGATTGAGGAATTTCTGGTGAACACCCACAACAAACTAAACCAAACCAGCCCATTAGGATTCCTTCATAAACAAAAGCTAACAAAACATCTGTCTGGCAACAATACATACCCCATTCTTACAAAACGTAGTTTAACTGTAACTAGCAGACAGTTTCTGCCTTTTCTACACAGCATAAATTCAAAAGTTTCAGTATCATACTCACAGCGAATCCCATAAATCATGAGAGGATCAAGTTGCTTCTTCCCATGCTTCCCCTGGCCCGAAAGGTTGGAGATGGCCTGAATTTCCCGATGAAAGAGATAATCAAGCAACGTCAGGGCCATCTTCTCGGCTGTGCGGCAGTTTGTGCTGATGTGCAGCATGTCAGCAGGGGTGATGGGGCAACGGACTCGCATCTCAGGATTATTTTCATCTCCGAGCCATGTCCCATTGGGGTAATCCTCTAAAGAAAGGAAAAAAAAAAAAAAAAAGAGAGATTGTGGAAATCCTAATTGTGGCACAGAATTAAACAGTCAGGTTCAAGTTACAGTCAACACTTCTTAGGTTATCATGAGCTCTTCCAGTTTTCTTCATAGTCCCCACAAACTTCTTTAAAATTTAGCATGACTAATAGGCTCACAAGACTTACTACAGATAAAAAGTAAATCAAATCAAATCCACATCAACAGTGACCAAAAGTTATTGCCATTAATGTTCTGGCCTACACGAGGAACCAGTGCAGTTAGTCCAGTTGTCTAACTCACTCTCAGATATCTTTTTAAAGTGTCTCATATTAGAGGCCAATAGCTGAAAGAGCATACTATATTCACAGTGTTCTCATTCATCAAGTTAGTCATCCCCTAAAAATGAAGATTACTGCAACCCCATAATATTCTTAAAGTACAGCTAATTTCAAGAAGCTAACAGCTTTGAACCAAAGCATTTTCCCCAAAAGCATCAGATTAAAACAAGTCTAAGCACGATTATAAATTTACAAAATTATAATCAATGGTGAGTAGTAATTTATTTAATCTCTTAAAAAGAGTATTTCAAGCAATGACAATCATCCAAAATGTAGCCAGAGTTCCCAATCAAAATCTTGGTCTTTCTTCAAATTTACTGGCCAGTAGTCTACATTATTTCCTAAACCCAGAGTTTACCAAGGAACAGGCCCAGCATAAAGATAATGAATCAATCGCTCATCTGCCAAGTGCATCTTCCCTTCTATTCAAGGTCATCAGCAGCAGAACTATACCTAACTTCTCTTGTGTATACACACAAACATTTTTTTATATATAAAGAAGTTTTCTGTTTTCTGTCTCAGCCTCTCAGTTGGGGATGGGGGGGGCGGGGGGAAGGCAGAACTATTCGTTTTAAGAGGAATACTAAGAACTCGCTGGAAATTAATCTCTGCAGACAATGCCAAAAGTTACTGGATTCAAGAATAACCAGAAACTAGAACAGAGCTCATAAGGGTGACCAATCCCTACTGAAGTGGAGGGTACAACACAGGACCTAGGATGAGACTACTGTTCCAGATAAAAACAAAATTTCCAGTACAAATCTTGACAATGCTAATAGGAACTGGATAGAACAACATTCCAGTACTAATTCAACCTTCACTGACACAGACCATTTGGATTTGATTTCTATGCTTGCTTAACTTTGTGGAGCAAAACAAAGCTTCCTGACTTAGGAGTCACTCAGCTCTTCCATACTTTATAGTATTTCATTGTTATTTCACACACTTTCAGAACAGTAAAAATGTGAACAAAGTCATTCAATTACATGATTTATCTTCCATTAAATGCCTTTAAAATAGAATTTCATGGTATACACAAAGTCACAAATTCCCATTTTCCATAACCTTTCTAATCACAAAATAGGCTGATGGAGTTCAGACAGATGAGCAGCTGACCTCCTCTTCTCATTGAACAGGACTCCGGACCAAGCAGCATCTTTATTTCCAAGTACTGGCACAGGTTAAGCAGCCTGCATTTTACTAGACTACAAGCCAAAAGTATGCAATATAATATAACATAAAAGCAAGTCAAACACTAAAAAACACTTTTCCAACATGACCTTTGGGTTGAGTCATACCACAAGTCAGATGCAAGTTTATTGCAATGAATAATGACAGTATGAAGCAAACCTTAGATTATGCAATACCGATATATCATTATGAACATGAGATTACCAACTATAATAATTTGTAAGGACAAACGTTTATTGCTGATGTATGTAGGAGCTAGTCCCGCAAACTTTTTTTCTGTTGAAACTAGAACTTAATGCTCTGAATATATTTTTATACACTCACCATTTTTTTAAATATACATTTTATTTGAACCTTACTTTTTATCCTGAACTATGTAATCGGGCACACTAGCTGTTTTCTGCTCACAGTACCAGGTGCCATCTGAAAAATAAGGTGGTTCAGATTAATTATGACTTGTTTTGAATGCCACTGTGTCTGGCCTCACCACAAGTCTGGTTAACATTATCAGGGAAAACAACAGTCTGTTCCTGAAGATAAATTGACTGCTTTATAAAAATTTGGGCAAAGTGGGCAAAGCAAAAACACCTCCGGATAAATGTGTAAGTTTTTCAAAGAAATTCTAGGAAGCCCGAGTTAATGATTCTACATCCTATCAAAACCTTACTGCCTTAACAGTTCACAGAATTACTGTTAGAGTTATTAATACTTATGGAACACCTTTCACCTGAAGTCTTGTTTAACAAATGCTATCAACCTACATGAACCAAAGATTTTTTTCAAATTACAAGATACTCTTTTTTTTTTTTGTACTGGCACAGAGTCTAGAACATACTGTTTTTACCACGTGCAACTGTTCTTTTATTTATTCTTTTACAGCCTGGAAAAAAGACGCTATCTTGTTATTCTGACCTACGAACACATGCTCCACATTAAATTATCTCTGGCATTTTCCTCCTGCTTTAAAAACTTCAACAGAAAGGGAATTTGCTTTATAATCATTTTGCATTAAGAGGAACTTGCATGACTAAAGTTAAACATGACTCTACTGTCTCACTGCAGCTACTTGAGGGCACAAAAGTTAAACTATTCCTTATCGTATATAAAAATAATTCCTACCGGCCTGCCAACACTTCTGGCACTTTGCATACAGCAAATATGATGAGACTGGCACACAAAAAAAACTGGTGAAAAGAGGAAGTATAGTGCCAGTTATGAGGGAGGCAGAACTGCTCTGAACAAGTGATGTGGTATGGGAGAAGACAGACTGAATAAGGAAACAGAAAAAAGACTGGGAGTTTGATGGAGTTCTCTCTGAACAATTCAGTACATAAACACTATTGATTAAAGCTGCGTTATTGGAAGCTGCTAGCACTCCAACATCCTTTTATGCTTACTGAAATGGTTCTTTACGTGTATTATCAGGCATTATACAGAATATCTAGATGGAATCTAGATGAGTCAGTTATTTAGTACATACGTTGCAACAGCCAGACACCTAGTCAGGACTCCACCAGGCACTGTACAACCACACACAGCTGCTTCTATTCCTTAAAGGCTACCAAAACACAAACAACATCTGAAGGGTTGGGGAGGAAGAATATGGTCAAAGAACGCGCTTTTCTTAAAAATAATGCAGCATAAATGCACACACTCATCTGGAACTCAATCACACACCTTTTTTGGTTTGTCCTGAAATATTTTTCTTTTGTTAATTTTCCTAACGGCCTTGCTGTATTTTGAAAGCATTTTGAGTGCTATCTGGAAAGGTACTTCCTTGCATCTCTTTACACCAAATATTGTATCAGAGAAGTGGCTCTTGATCATTTCAACTTTCATTGTTAAAAGTCCTGACATTTTTATCTGATTTCCTCTCTGTACTCAGAAGCTCATTTCAATGACACACAGGCTAATTTCTAGCTCCTCTTCAATGTTTTTTTAAGATCAAAAAATTTGCCTTTATCTCCACTCTACCGAACCTAGAACTAGTTTGCTTTTCAACACGGTTTTCAAATCTTTTTTACTGTATTAAGTCCATTTCTTTTATCTCACAACACAGCTGACCATTCCTCTATTTCGGCAGGCACATGCGAGAAGACAAGAGGCGGCTGGGGCTGCGACGCAAACAAGCATTTCTAAGGAAAGAGGATGAACGAGTTTAAAGGTTAGTATGAAGAAAACCGATGTCAAGAGAACAAACACCAGACAAGAGTCGTTGTGCCTTTCAGACTCGTTCTCGACACGTGTATGTGTTTTCTCACCCAGGGAGATGACAGAGACTTAACCATTACTCATATCTTTCCATTGGGACACACTCCCCAGGTTTGAAACTTGAGCCTTAGCAGAAAGACCAGAAGTAAAGCTAGGCTCTGCTCTCTCGCTAGGTGCTGTCAATCACTCCTTTAAAACACGGGAAAACAAAAAGGAAACACCTGCCCACATAACCACTTGGATTAACACGTTCCATTATTCTGAGTAGATGTGTTTATTTTACTAACTGGGCTGGGTGCAAACCTGGCATTTGCAGCAGAGAAAAATGACTAGTAGCTGCAATACAAAGGCAGAAAGATGAATTAACCTTAAAAAAAACCCCAAACCCCCAAATCCTGACCTACAAAAATAAACCCCCATTTCTAGATAAATTAAATAGTATTTCGGCTGATGTGTGGAAAATTCAATGTCATCTTTTATAATAATCTTCTGCCCGTTATCCCAAGTCCTTTGGCCCTGCAAGAGTTCACAGGGGTACTGATTAACTGACAGACTACAGAGTACTGACTTTATTAACTACAATCATGAAATATAAGGAACAGAATGACAATCAGGCTATAAGTTAACCTATAAATCTAGCAATGTGATCTAGCAATGTGGACATAGAAAGCTATGTTCACCAAAAACTCCTCCCGCCACAAAAAGCAGTCGAGACGCTGGGAGTTCTGGCAAAAGGAGGCGTACAACACACACACCCACGGACATCAGAAACCCTGGACACAGAACTGGAGTTTTTCGCCTAACTATTCTCGTGGTGAAAAAAAGGTTTAATCTCCACGTAAATATAAAAGAAAGACAGCCAGAAGAGTCTCGTGCTCCAAGTATAATCTTCTGTACAGCACAAAGGATTTGGCTAACAGAGACACAGTTCCAGTTAACTTCTAAGCCCTACTGTTAGAGGACTGGTACACTATACAAGATATTCTGAAAATATATCCTGCACTCTCCTGCACTCCTGGCTTTCTTCAGTTGTCAGACAGACAACATACAGCACAAAAGAACATATATGGGCACGTAGTACCAAAGCATACTTGTCTCAGCAAATACTGTGGTGTGCACAGAAGTCTCAGCATAAGATCAGCGAGATTACTAGTTTGTTAAAAATAAGGCCAGTTTTAGTACATAGTTAAATCCATGAGAGAAAGAGGAGATACGCTTCCTGTATGACTCATGGAAGGCCAAGGAATTTATTCAACGGA